ACTGTCCGAGAAAAAATATCACAGAATCGACAAGGTATACGTCATCGAAACATTTTTTTATGCAAAACTTTCATCGACGAGGCCATATACAAGCACACATGTAAGCTTAGGTGTGTCATCAAATGAAATAGGAAGTGAATGGGATCAATTAAAGTTTTGGTTCTTGTCTGTTAATTCCCCCCCCCCGTACTAGACACGCCCCTTTTTGCCGTTTCGCGCACGCTTTTGGTTTTTAGAGAGTTGAAAAAAAGAGGATTTTTTCGAACAAATGAGCCTTGTGTTCTAGCCTAAGCCTTCTCAAAGAAGTATAACCTTAGCCTTATTAGCCTAAGCCTCATGAACAAGTTTAAGTATATCATGAACAAGTCTGATCCTTATTTTATGAGAAATAACTCCTACAACCCAGCCTTACTAGCTTAAGCCTTATGAAAATTCAGCCTAAGCCTCATGAAAATCTAGCCTAAGCCTTATGTATATTTAGCCTAAGCCTTATATTCTAGCCTAAGCCTTTTTAAAGAAGTCTAACCTTATTTTATCAAGAATACCTAAGCATTTTTCCTACAAAAACCAAGACCATGCGCAAACGGCAGAAGGGGCGGAGCCGGGGGGGGGGGGGAAAAAACAGACAAGAGCCAAAGTTTTTTCTGTTTACTCGTTCATTGACTGTGTTGTGCATTAACTGAGACGTATTTGGGATTTTAGCTGCAGTTTGAGTAGAATATTGTACCTTACTTATTACAGCAGATTGACTCTGAAATTCGTGCTTATACCCGTTCATTGCATGTTCTGTGTCCAATTCCTACAGAACTTAGTAACTTCATCGCCCAGTGATATGATGATCAGTCAAGCTCTAACTGTTATCACATGTTAATCATTCAATTTTTCTTTGATCTGAGTTATCGGTTCTGGTAAAGTTGTAATTACATATTTTTAAACTTGGAGATGAGCCGCGTATAGCTCGCTCAGTAAGATCAGGAGTATATAAATCATTTCCCGTTTCTGACTGATGAAGTCTAGTGACGTGAGAGTGCAAAGAAATTATTATTTTTTCAACTCTCTAAAAACTAAGAGCGTGCGCAAAACGGCAAAAAGGGGTGTGAAAAAAAAGAAAGAAAATGCACGCATTTGTGAAACTCTTCTCTGAACTCTTACAATTCCTCTCAACTTTAGCACGCAAGAATATTCTTCTTACCCAACACAGAAGAAAAAGACTGAAAATTTTATTAGAGAATACACTATAATCATACAATTGAGGTGATCTGAATGTGCTAGAAATAGGTAATTTTTTTTCAGTAACTTGAGATAGAAATACAAGCAAACATCAAAACAGTGATTGCTTAACCAAGACAGTCCTCAACTAATTCAAGCAGAGTGATCTAGTAAAAATTTTAACTACATAGACAGAGAGGGCATAACTATGATCTTCCCAGTAATCTCTTAGGGGTAGGACTTCTTGGAACTCAACTCAAGTTTTATCAGCGCTTGAATCAGCAATGATTAGATTAAAAGTATACTATGATGGTATATCAGGAGAAAACACGGAAAATATAAGAACATATATGAGGAAACAAATCCGAACAGAGATTGATTAACAAAGCAAATCCTCAACCACTTCCACTAGAGCAATCGAAAAAACCTCTGCAGCCTGTTCACTTTCAAAGGCAACTTGAAAACTCGCAAGCACGAGCAGTTACTTATAAATTATGAGAAATCTCGAAAAAAAAGAAAATATCAAATGAGCTGGGACAACTACAGGGAGAAGATCAAAAGGCTTGCAATGATTAGTGAACAACTAACTATTCATCAAAATTGTCTTGCTCCAATTTTTTTTTTTTGTTTTTCAGTTAGTTTGAACGCGCGAAGTTGTTCGACAAACTTCTCTGCTTGCTTGAATGCGGCAGTAACACGAAAAGCATCATGGCTATTCGAAAAGAATGAATAATGGCATCTGATGAAATACAAATCACAAAAAAAAATTTAATTTCAAACTCACGCTTCTAAACCAGAAAATCTGTTACCTAGCTCGTTGGATAGCTCTCTAGTGAAGTTCGCTTTTCCATCGTATGTAGACAGCTTAACGTTTAGCTGACGATCATTTATGAACTCTTGAAAGACACATAAAGCATCATGACAAATTCATAAAACTTACCTTCGATAGCGAGAGAAGCACTTTGCCATAAAAGTTCACAGGCCATTCTCAAGTCTCCCAATTTTATGAACAAAGTTGACAGAACGATTAGCGTCTCCGGAGTGTGGCTCATACCAGGTCTTATATTTTTCTGAATTAAAAAAAAAAAAGTCAGTGAAACACTGGTTTAATCATTAGAAGCACTCCACTTCACAAAAAGTATCTGAAGACTATTCACTTTGCAAATACTGTCCAGGGAATCGTTCAGAAGAAAGTCATTATATAAAAACAATATATAAACTAACCTCGAACAAAATGTCTTTCTTATCATATTTCTTGAATGCGGTTTTCAGAGCTCTTTCCATTTCCTCTACCTCGTTTTTCCCATAAATACGCTGGAATTGAAGTTTCAACAGACTCCCAAGAGTCGCTTTCTCTAAATTTTTTTGTATCCGGGGATCGTTGCGCCAATTCATCCCGAAAAACATATAAAATTTAACAGAACAAAAAATTAAATAAACCGCTCAACAGGGCGAAGATGTAAAAGCTTCTACACAAAACAGGAAAATTTGCAATCGAATGAGAATAGATTATTTTACGATTTTAAGATGTAAAATTAATATTTTAGCTGGTGGTATAAATCTCGGGCGTGTGCTCCTGTGTCATGTTGTCGAAGGTACACTCCTTGGATAGTGCGGCCTTTTTGTACGACGACATGTCTGCTGCTGCTGTTCTGCGAATACCTATCTTCAGGAGTTGTGCCTCTCGGAGGTGCTCGCTGACATCTGAGCGCAGTTGTTTTCCAAAGATCTCCGGCGTATGTTCTTGAGTTACGTTGTCGAACGTGCATTCTTTTGAGAGAGGGGCCTTCTTATAAGAGGGCATGTCGGCCGTAGGTCTTCGAATGCCGATTTTTTGTAGTTGCGTCTCGCGGAGATGGGATAATTTGGTTTTGATTCCTGCCGAAATTAAGGTCTCCATCACGCCTAGAAGGCGCTCTTTTTTGGGCTCGTCCGCTGGATCATCCTTTTGAATGAGAACTCTCAAGATTGTCGTGAGGTTGAGCGTGTTGAGCCATAGCTCGTATTCCGTCTTAACCTCGGATTCGGAGATTGTTACTTGAGCTCTGTTTCTTGAGTCCGTTAGTCCTTGAAGTCGTTCGTCCAGTACGGGTACCTGGGCTAGGTGTGATTCCACCGTGGCAGAATGTTTGAGTAGTTCCGCTCTGTCCGCGTTCGAAAGGTGCTTCCCTGCTGCTAGGATCTCGAATTTTGTCTTTAGCGACTTGTCTAGTGTTACTGAGATGCGTCGAGATGTTCCCGTGAGTTCGGGAAAGTCGAAATCTCGCTGTGGAGATTTTGAGCGATGGCCTTCGCTAAGGGAGGAGGATGAGCGGGAGCGACCTTCTGGGGTAGAAGGTCGGGAGCGGGAACGGGATCGGAAAGATATATCCGACATGCTGTGAGGCGTCACAGAAGTAGAATGATACTAGAAAGTAAAAAATTCCTAACCACGAAATGGCGTGGGAAATTAGGATAAGCTCATCACCCTAGGTAACATTACAGTAAAAGTGCAAGAAATGTAAACTTTTCTTTGAATGTGAGGCAAAATGGAAATAAAGCTTTTAGTGTTACTAAAATAACTATTATAGCATTCAGATTTGAAGAAAAAAACATGGCGCTGTATCATCATCAAATCAATAACACTGTAACTAACAAACAGAACATCTCCAGTTCGATCGAATTTGAGGGCTTTTGCTACTTAGAAAATAGAGTGAAATCAACAATAAATAAGAAATAAGATCAGGACGAAATGGTAAATTACACTGAACGCTCCAAACCTATAACACTAGATAGAGAAAAATAGTATTCAAGTAAATTTGTTGTAGAGTGATATGAACTGAACTCCCGCAAAGAATCACATTCACATTTGGATTCACAAAATTTAACAGATCCTTGAGGTCCTAATGTCATTCGGTGATCAAACATGTCATTTGAAATTATGTCCATAGGCTTGTTACGTAACTATTAACATAACGCAACCTGAAGTTGCAATCAAACTTAATCCCAGTTTATTTCCTTGACACAATGTACAGACTAATCCCTTACCTTACTACATCCACAATCATTTACTGCTTAGACAGTGATGTTGATGGGAATTAAAAAAAAACAAAATGTCTTCCACTAATATAATCATACTGCAAACTTCACGCCAACCACCAAACTAAATAAATTTTCGCTCAAAAAAATCGTTGGTTCGAACAGCTACTATCAAGCAGTCTTCTCATCCAAAGTTTGAAGATCAATTCGTATTTCACAGGTATGAACATTGAACT